ACATGGCATGCCAGGGCCTCAGCTGGTTTCTATCAACAGATGCCCAATATATTCTCATAGATTATATATGTTCAGGATCATGTCTACCCCCGGGCGTGTCGCCATGTATAATGCATTGCTCCCTACAATGATAAATAAGTAAAAGTGTAATGTAATAGAGGACTGATATCCACTGCTTCTGTTCTACTAACATTTCAGAGCGGAGGCAGGGCAGACAGAGCTGACGTTCTTATTCAGAAGTAGGATCCTTGCTATTTCTCGCTGGCTGTGCAGCTGTGACTGGGGCCCAGCCATGGGGGAAAGCTGCCCAACTGGTTATAGTTCCTGGGAGCTGCAGAGTGACCTTTGCAGCCTGCAAGCTCCAGCCCTTCTCGGTTACCTCACTCATACCAGATGCAATCTGAGCTGGGGAGCTGGATGCAACTGGGAGGGGGATTGGCAAGAGAGCTCCTCTGGGGATGGCGTCGAGAACGTTCCTTTGAATTTGGATTGTGCACGGGATGCTGCAGCTGCAGGGACAGGGAGCCTACACGTGGAGTCCCAAAGAAGATCCGGCACCCAGAAAGAGTGGGCTGTGATGGAGTGGGGGCCCCTCAGGCGGGTGGGCGCAGCACTTACAAGGATGGAGGCTACAAGATTCAGTGATCAAGGGGTTCTCTAGGGTGGGATATAGCGTGCACAGGGACATGGGAGCTCCCTAAGGGGGTCCAGCCGTCAGAGGGGTCACACTGTTCTAGACTAAGTGGTCTGCCCAGGCATCTGCCCACCAGTTTCATTGAGGGAGGTATGTCATAGCCCCAAAGATGCTGAGATGTTTTAAAACCCTCGTTTTATTCATATAACATGAGACAACTGATTGCAGTCAGGGCCGGCCTATTCCCACCATACACACCCATGTTCATGTTTCAATCTTTTACTACATACAAAGCAGCAGAAAAACAATTAAGCTAGAGACAACGATTTCTCAGGGTGCTGTCTTTTATTCGACCACCTGTGGTTGAGATAGAGTTAGACAAGTTTCAAAAGCATTGTCTAACTCCACTCCAACTACACAATAAAAGTTATCGCCCTGAGAAACCCCTGCTTCGCACATAATTTCTGGACCATCATAGCTACAGCATCACTCTTACACTATGCAAAACAAAGTGTTTATACCTGAACGGGTTACACGGACACTTAATTTGCACAATTTCCCTTCTGTTGATTTAAGGAGCCTTATCAAACCTTCTGATTCAAATGCAGAGGGAAGGAAACCAGAGCAAGGGGGAGGGAAAGGAGTAAACTGGAACAAGTCATTCTGAGTCTGGAGTTTGAGAGAAGGGAGTGAAGCTGTGACTCAGACTGGGGCCGATAGTGAGATTGGGACTGGGTGCTGGTGAGCAGTTTGGGATCAGAGATCATAAAGGAGCAGGAGGACTGGGAGCCAGTTGGTTGGGGAGAATTATAGAGATCAGCTGAGACTGGGACTAGCTGGACTAGTCTAGGACTAAGAAGCTGCGAGGGGGGATTGGGGAGATATGACAAGGAGCTCAGGAGTTGGGTGCAAGTGGGGCAGAGACTGGAAGAAGTAGAGCGTAAGCTCTCGTGAATAAGGAGCATCTTGCTCTTTGCACGGCACCTAGCAGAATGAGGTCCTGATCCACGACCTCATATTAATCCAGTCTCAGCTACAACAACAATAATAATACTAAATCAAGGAGAGGAGAGCCTGGAGCAAGAAGCCAGGGTGTGCACGGGGGCACCGAGCGTGGTGAGGAGCCCAAGGAGCAGGACTAGGGATGAATATTGCAGAAGGGGAGAGACAGATTGAAGGAGGAACCAGGAGCAGGACTGGGGCTGGATGGGTAAGCAGACTGGGACTGGATATAAGGAAAGGGAGAGCCTGTTTTCAATGCCCTACAAAACATGACTGCCGTCTAACACATTTTATTGCCCCTCTCTGAACCCCTTCTGCGTCTGCTGTATCTTTTTTGCCAGAGGCAAGGGGGGGGGGGGGGGGGGGCGGGGGGCCGCGC